ATGCTGAAATGAAACAGGCTCTACTAAATAGAAGCATGCTTCTTGGGAACAAACAACACATTCTATTTGGCATTAGCAATTCCTGGTGCTGACTGGACACGTTAATACAACCCCCCGTCTTCTTCAGGAAGACAAATAAAATAGGAGCAATGGTTCACAGCGAGCCAGCACACATTAAAGCTTACATGCAATCAACACACGAATGCACTAAGTTCTCACTGCGTACTGGTGTCCGCCATAGGTGTTACTTACGACTTACTTTCACGAGAACATTACAAGGTAGATTTATTAACTCACATTCTAAATTTATTTGAATGATATCTGCCACTCAGAGAAACCAAGTGGTCAGTAGTGGATAAATTAGGACCAGTGCTCTGCACACGCCCCAAGCTACAGAGAGACTTCTTAAGTGTTAAACAAGTCTAAATTAAAGAATAATTAATATTTAACTTAGATTCCCATTATCTGCTGAAAATATTTTTAGTGGAAGTGATCCCTTCATTCTCCTAGGTGAAAAAATTTCTTCTGTGCAGGTACCATAATTTTCTCTTATTCTTTTACTCTGGATACTGGATAGGCTCATAGCTCTCCAAGAAATAGAACATGGCTCCTCAGAGACATCAGCAAAGAAGAAACAAAAATCATTAGACCTATGGAAAGGAAAGCACTATCCTGCTTGAAAATTATAATTGCCTTTAGAAAGCCTAGAAGGATCTGTGAACCACTTATTATAAATAAGATAATTTTAAATAAAATTGCTTATAACATTAATATGTAAAAGTTAATTCAATTCTGTAAGTCTCCATAATATATGAAAAACTCCTATAAAACTATAGGAAAAAACTGAATATCTTTAAAATATTCAAATGGAGACTGAGATCAACAGCCAGATACAGCATATATATGTAGGGTATATGACTGCCTTCATGTGGGTCACCCCAGATTAAACCCTGGAAGGATTTAGATGACAGTAGTTTATTTAAGAGCCTAAAAAATACCCAAAGAGAAATGGTAAAGTGAGTCAGAGAAAGGAAGACAGTCGAGAAGCTGCATTATCAAACCCAATCCCACTGCAGGCAACAAAAAAAGAGGTCCTGCTGTGGACGTTCTGAGCACAGAGTGAATCCCCAGTGGGGAAAGGCACTGGAATACTTAGAATCCAACTCTGCTAGAGGTTGAGGTCTTCTTCCAGCAAGCGTTAACTTCCTGGCACTAAGTACTTACCACCCAGGTGGATACAACACATTTCAGTTTTCCAAGAAAGACTTTGGGCGGAGAAATTCAGGAGCTTCCAATAGGAGTTTTGGGTTGGCAAGTAAGGGGATATGGGAAGAGCCTGGACAGTCAACCAGTGCCAACAGCTGTATCCCAACCATCTACTGTAGGATGACACAAGTCCACCACGTGACTTTTATTGTGACTTTTTATCCAGCATGTAGGGTGGAATGAAGCTATTTTCAATAAATACAAAAATCATCAAAATGTAAAATTACAAAAATTAAATTAAATCTCATTTGGCTAGCTCATTAACAAAAAGCAAACAAATCTCATTCAATCTTATTCTCTGTTGCCTTTTTCTTTACTTTATTTGACAGGTAGAGTTATAGACAGTGAGAGAGAGAGACAGAGAGAAAGGTCTTCCTTCAGTTGGTTCACTCCCCAAATGGCCACTATGGCCGGCGAGCTCCTCCGATCTGAAGCCAGGAGCCAGGTGCCACTTCCTGGTCTCCCTTGTAGGTGCAGGGGACCAAGTGCCCAGGCCATGCTCCACTGCCCTCCCGGGCAACAGCAGAGAGCTGGACTGGAAGAGGAGCAACCGGGACTAGAACCCAGCGCCCATATGGGATGCCAGTGCCACAGGGGGAGGATTAACCAAGTGAGCCACTGTGCTGGCCCCTCTGTTGCTTTTTATCTCTGCTTCTTCTTTCCTTATCAGAGCCAAATTCCCTTGAAAAGGGAAGGGGATGCACAATCTGGGACATGTTCAAGCTGACTTGCCCCAAACAGTAGAGTTAGAAATGTGCCAGGGGATTCTAATGCAATCCCATCAAGATGGCATGTATCAATGCCATCTCACTAGTCCAAGTGATCAATTTCAGTTCACAATTGATCACACTGATAGGACTAAGTGTCAAAGGGATCACATAAACAAGACTAGTGTCTGCTAATACTAACTGATAGAATCAAAAAGGGAGAGAACGGACCAACGTGGGAAGCGGGATACACAGCAGACTCATAGAATGGCAGATGTCCTAAACAACACTCTGGCCTCAGAATCAGCCCTTAAGGCATTCGGATTTGGCTGAAGATCCCATGAGAGTATTTTAGGCATGGAAAGCCAAGACACTCTGGCAAAAAACAAACAAATAAACAACAACAAAAAAAAAAAAACCTAAATGAAAGCTCTACTTTCCAGTAGAAAGAACGGGCCATCAGGGAAGGAGGTACCTTTTTCTGAAGGCAGGGGTGAACCTCCACTTTGACTATGACCTTGTCTAAATAAGATCGGAGTTTGCAAACTCAAAAGGCTTTCATAGCCTTGGCAGCTCATGACAGGAGCCTAGGGAGATTACTGATGCCATAAACAAGAGTGTCAATTTGTTAAGTCAACAACAGGAGTCACTGTGCACTTACTCCTCATCGAGGATCTCTGTCCTTAATGTGCTGTACATTGTGATTTAATGCTATAACTAGTACTCAAACAGTATTTTATACTTTATGTTCTGTGTGGGTGCAATCTGTTGAAATCTTTACTTAATATATGCTAAACTGATCTTCTGTATATAAAGATAATTGAAAATGAATCTTGATGTGAATGGAATGGGAGAGGGAGCAAGAGAGGGGAGGGTTGCAGGTGGGAGGGAAGTTATGGGGGGGAAGCCATTGTAATGCATATGCTGTACTTTGGAAATTTATATTTGCTAAATAAAAGTTTAAAAAGTGCATTTTTCCCCAGATTTACATAGCTGGTCTTCGTGGGGGGAAGAGTAAAGTCACCCATGGGGTCAAGGTGAACTTAACTAGATCTGTCAATGAAACCTAGTTAGAGACCACATGCTTAAAGTAGATGTTACCCAACTATGAACATAAAAAGTACTTTTACATTCATGAAAGTTAATATGGCAATTCATGATTGAGTGAATGTTTACTGAATATTTACCATATCTCCCTATTCTGTCAAAGTACTACAAAAACACTAAACGGTAGTTTTTTGTAACACGTTTTCATTCTATTAAAATTGAAAGGTTAAAAAAAGTGCATTTTTTATTCTTGAAAAGTACATTTTATAACAGACATTAAAATTGTGCATATTTATGCCATACCATGACACATTTCATTAAATATTTGTATCAGGTAATATCTAAAGAGTTAAATATATTTCTCCTTTCAGGTATTTAACATTTTCCTATAGTGAAAGCATGCAAAATACTATCTTCTAGGCTTTCATTCAAATAAAAAGACATAGTATGGTAACATTATTTATAGTCACCTTACTGTGTATAGGACCCCAGAAGTGCTTCCTCCTATCTAACTATAACCTGGCACCCATCAATCAGCCTTTCTGTATTTCACTTTCCCTGTTTTACTCTTCAGCCTCTGGGAACCACCACTATATTTTTTAACTTCTATAAAATCACCTATTTTTTAGATTCCACATATGAATGGGATAATGAGATATTTGTCTTTTCTGTGCTTAGCTTATATCACTTAATACAAAAATCTCCAGTTCTATCTATGATGTTGAAAATAAAAAGATTAAATCCTTTTTTATGGCTGAGTAATAGGCCTTCATATATATGTACCTTATTTTCTTTATCCATTCATCAGTGAATGGACACTTTGGTTGTTTCCATTTTTAATGAGTTTGCTATAATGGTGCAGTAAACTTTGGAGTGCAGATGTTTCTTTGACAGATCAAATAAATTTCCCTTGGATCTATACCCACTAGTGGGATTGCTGGATCATACGCTAGTTCTATTCTTAGTTTCTTGATGAAGATCCATATTGTTTTCCAAAAGGTACTCATATTCCCACCAACAGTGTGCAAGCATTCTCTTATCTCCACTTCCTTACCAGCACCTGTTATGTTTTGTCTTTTTGATAGTAGCCAATCTTACTGGGGTGAGGTGATATCTCACTGTGGCTTTGATTTGCATTTACTTGGCAATTAGTGATTCTGAACATTTTTTCACGTACCTCTTGGCCATTTGTACGTCTTCCTTTGAGAAATGTCTGTTTAGGGACCAGGATTGTGGAGCAATAGGTTAAGCTGCTGTCTATGCTGCTAGAATCCCGTATGAGTTCTGGTTTGAGTTTCAGCTGATCCACTTCCAATCCAGATCCCTGCTAATGTGCCTGGGAGGGCAGCCGGTGATTGACCAAGTGAGTGGGCCTCTGCACCCATGTGAGAGACCTGGATGGAGTTCCTGTCTCCTGGCCTTGACCTGGCCCAACTCCAGTGGTCGCAGCCCTTTGGGGAGTGAACCAGTGGATAGATTCTCTCTCTCTCTCTCTCTCTCTCTCTTTCTTTCTTTCTTTCTGTCTGTCTGTCTGTCTGTCTCTCCCTTTCTCTAGCACTGCCTTTCAAAGAAATAAAATCCTAAAAATGTCTTTTTAGGATCATTGCCCATTTGGGGGGTTATGTGTTATTTTGCTGTTGAGTTTATTACACATTCTGAATATTAAGTCCTTGTCAGATATATAGATTGTAAATATTTTCCCATTATGTAGCTTGTCTTTTCACTTTGTTGATGTTTTGATTAATATCATTCAAAATATAATGAAATGATATTTTATGATGGTTTTTATTTGCATTTTCCTGACAGATAGTGATCCTGACAATTTTTTCATGTGCCTGTTACCATTTGTATTTATTATTTTGAAAAAAGATAATCAGCATCATGAAAAATTAGGAAGGCAGGAAACCCCTTGGTAAAATTACAAAGGAGATCAAAACAAACAATAGGAAAATTTACTGAAAATGGCAAAGAAGCAGGTACCTTTCTCTGAAGGGAGGAGAGAGCTTCCACTTTGACCATGGCCTTGTCTAAATATGATCAGAGTCGGTGAACTCAGGGGGCTTCCATAGCCTTGGCAACTGATGACAAGAGCCTAGGGTGATTACTGATGTCATAAACAAGAGTGCCAATTTGTTAAGTCAACAACAGGAGTCACTGTGCACTTACTCCTCATGTAGGATCTTTGTCCTTAGTGTGCTGTACATTGAGATTTAATGCTATAACTAGTACTCAAACAGTATTTTTCACTTTATGTTTCTGTGTGGGAGCAAACTGTTGAAATCTTTACTTAATGTATGCTAAACTGATCTTCTGTATATAAAGAGAATAGAAAATGAATCTTGATGTGAATGGAAGGGGGGAGGGAGTGGGAAAGGGGAGGGTTGTGGGTGGGAGGGAAGTTGGGGGGGGAGCCATTGTAATCCATAAGCTGTACTTTGGAAATTTGTATTCATTAAATAGAAGTTTAAAAAAAATGGCAGGAATCAAGTCACTACTTATCAATGTAAATGGCTTACATTTGCCAATTAAAAACTACAGACTTGCTGAGTGGATTAGAAAACAATAGTCATCTACATGCTGCCTACAAGAAAATTACCTCGTCAACAAAGATACATGCAGACTTAAAATGAAAGGATAGAAAAAGATATTTAATGCAAACAGCAATCAAAAATAAGTGGGAGTAGCCATCCTAATCTCAGAGAAAATAGACTTTAAGACAAAAACTATCAAAAAGAGACAAAGAAGGGCCTTTGCTTATTTCTTACCTGGATTGTATGTCTTGTTAAGTTCCTTATATATTCTGAATATTAATTCTTTATTAGATACAGAGCTTGCAAATATTTTCTCCCATTCTGTCAGTTGTCTCTTCTCTCTATTTATTGTCCCTTTGTATTGCAAGAGTTTTTAACTTTTTAATTTTTTTTGGAAAAGAGTTAAATTATATTTTCTTGAAGAGCAAATGATCTTGTATATAAAAAATTTCAGATAATTAACATAAAACCTATTAAATTAAGGAACAATTTCAGGAAAGTTGCATGATACAAGCTCAACACGTGAAAATCTGTTGTCTTTCAATATACTAGTAATGGAAAATATGAAAATTAAACAATTTCATTATCTTTTTTTAACTTTTAACATTTTATTTAAGATATACAGAATTGATGCATTTCATAAATGCAAATTTAGGAACATAGTCATTCTTCCTACCCTACTCACCTCCCACCCACATTTCTACCCTTCTTCCTCCTCCCTCTTCTATTTCCATTCTTATTTTTTTACAAAGATCTATTTTCAATTAACTTTACACACATAAGATTAACCCTATGGTAAGTAAAGAGTTCAACAAATAGTATGAAAAAAAAAATTGTACCTTAACAGTTGAGACAAGGGCTGTTAATCACATCTTAAAGTGTCAATTTCACTTTCACTTCTGTGGATTACCGTTTAGGTACTCTATTAGTTATTGCAGATCAAAGAGAACATACGGTATTTGTCCTTTGGGGACTGGCTTATTTCATTAAGTATAATGTTTTCAAGTTGCATCCATCTTGTTGCAAAAGACAAGGATTTCATTTTTTTTTACAGGTGAGTAGTACTCTATAGTGTATATACCATAATTTCTTTATCCAGTCTTCAGTTGATGGGCATTTGGGTTGATTCCATATCTTAGCTACTGTGAATTGATCTGCAATAAACATGGGAGTACAGGCAACTCTTTCATGTGCAGATTTCATTTCCCTTGGGTAAATTCCCAGTAGGGATGGCTGGGAATATATTTAGATTTATGAGGTATCTCCAAATTGATTTCCATAGTGGCTGCATATGTTTACATTCCCATAAACAGTGAACCACGGTACATTTGTTCCCACATCCTTGCCAGCATTTCTTGTTTGTTGATTTCTATATGAGAGCCATTCTAACTGGGTAAGGTGAAATCTCATTGTGGTTTTGATTTGCATTTCTCTGATGGCTAGTGATCCTGAGCATTTTTTCATGTGTCTGTTGGCCATTTGGATTTCCTCTTTTGAAAAGCATCTGTTTAAGTCCTTTGCCCATTTCTTCACTGGGTTGTTTGTTTTGTTGTGTAGTTTCTTGATCTCTTTATATATTTTGGTTATTAATCCTTTGTCAATTGCATAGTTCACAAATAATTTCTCCAATTCTGTCAGTTGTCTCTTCATTTTCCCGAGTGTTTCTTTTGCAGTACAGAAGCTTCTCAATTTGATGTAATCCCATTCATTGATTTTGGCTTTGAATGCCTCTACCTTTGGGGTATTTTCCAAGAACTCTTTTCCTGTGCCAATATCTTGCAGGGTTTCCCCAATGTTTCTAATAATTTGTGGGTATCAGTTCATAGATTTAGGTCTTTAACCATTAAGAATGGATTTTCGTGTAAAGTGTAAGGTAGGGGTCCTTCTTCACACTCCTGTATGTGGAAATCCAGTTTTCCTGGCCGTATTTGTTGAAGAGTCTGTCCTTGCTCCAGGGAATGTTTTTATCTCCTTGGTCAACTATAAGCTGGTTGTAGATGCTTTGATTGATCTCTGGCATTTCTATTCTGTTCCACTGTTTTTGTGCCAGTACCAGGTTGTTTTGATTATAAGTGCCTTGTAGTTGTACCATGTTTTGATATCTGGTATTCTGATGCCTCCGACTTCATTTTAGTTGTATAAGATCACATTAGGCCGGCGCCGCGGCTCACTAGGCTAATCCTCCGCCTTGCAGCGCCAGCACACCGGGTTCTAGTCCCGGTTGGGGCGTCAGATTCTGTCCCGGTTGCCCCTCTTCCAGGCCAGCTCTCTGCTGTGGCCAGTGGAGGATGGCCCAAGTGCTTGGGCCCTGCACCCCATGGGAGACAAGGAAAAGCACCTGGCTCCTGGCTCCTGCCATCGGATCAGCGTGGTGCGCTGGCCGCAGCGTGCTGACCGCGGCGGCCATTGGAGGGTGAACCAACGGCAAAGGAAGACCTTTCTCTCTGTCTCTCTCTTTCACTGTCCACTCTGCCTGTCAAAAAATAAAAAAAAAAAAGATCACATTAGATATTTGAGGTCTCCTGTATTTCCATATGAATTTTGCATCATTTTTTCTAGATCTGAGAAGAATGTCTTTGGTAAATTGATTGGTATCACATTGAATCTGTAAATTGCTTTCCGAAGAATGGGCAATTTGATGATATTGATTCTTCCAATCCATTAACATGGAGGATTTTTTCCATTTTTTGTATCTTTTTCTATTTCTTTCTTTAATGTTTTGTAATTCTCATTGTAGAGATTTTTGACATCCTAAGTTAAGTTTATTCCAAGGTATTTGATTTTTTTTTTTTTTTGTAGCTATTGTGAATGGGATAGATCTTAGAAGTCCTTTTTCAACCATGGCATTTTCTGTGTATACTAAGGCTGCTGTTTTTTGTGTGTTGTGTGTTGATTTTATATCCTGATACTTTACTAAACTCTTCTGTGAGTTCCAATAGTCTCTTGCTGGTGTCTTTTGGTTCTCCTTTATATATATATATATATATATATATATATATATATATATATAGAATCATGTCATCTGAAAATAGGATAGTTTGACTTCTTCATTCCTAATTTCAATTCTTTTGATTTCTTTTATTTGCCTATGGCTCTGGCTAAACCTTTCAAGACTATATTGAATTGCAACGGCAAGAGTGGGCATTCTTGTCTGGTTCTGGATCTCAGTGGGAAAGCTTCCAACTTTTCCCCATTCAGTAAGATACTGGGTGTGGGTTTGTCATAAATTGCCTTGCCTGTTTTTAGGAATGTTCCTTTTCCACGCAATTTGCTTAGAGTTTTCATCATGACAAGGTTTTGTATTTTATCAAATGCTTTCTCTGCATCTATTGAGATAATGATATTTTTTTCACATTGATTTGCGAATGTTGAACCATCCTTGAATACCAGGTCTAAATCCCACTTGATCTGGGTGAATGATCTTTCTGGTGTGTTGTTGAATTCTATTGGCCAGTATACCATTGAGGATTTTTGCCTAGATGTTTATCAGAGAAATTGGTCTGTAGTTCTCTTTCTCTGTTGTATCTTTTTCAGGTTTAGGAATTAAGGTGATGTTGGCATCATAGAAAGAATTTGGGAGGATTACCTCCCTTTCAATTGTTTTAAATAACTTTCGAAGAAGTGGAGTTAGTTCTTTAAATATCTGGTAGATCTCAGCGGTGAATCCATTTGATCCAGGGCTTTTCTTTGTTGGGATGGCCTTTATTACTGATTCAATTTCCATCATTATGTCTCTGTTTTGGTTTTCTATGTCTTTATGGCTCAATTTAGGTAGGTTGTATGCATACAGGAATCTATCCAATTCCTCAAGTTTTCCCGTTTTGTTGGCATACAGCTATTTGTAGTAATTTTCAATGACTCGTTTTATTTCTGTGTTGTCTGTTCTTACATTTCCTTTTTCATCTCTAATTTTATTAATTTGGATCTTCTATCTCCTTTTATTTTGGTTATTTGGGCCAATTATCTGTCAATTTTGTTTATTTTTTTTAAAAAATCAGCTCTTTGTTTTGCTGATCCTTTGTATTTTTTTTATTGTTTTGTTGATTTCTTCTCTAATTTTAATTATTTCCTTTCTCTTACTAGTTTTGGATTTGGTTTAGTGTTGTTTTTCCAGATTCTTGGGGGGCATTGATAGCTCATTTATTTGATGCCTTTCCAATTTATTGGTGTAGGCACCAATTGCTATAAACTTTCTTCTTAACACTGCTTTTGCTATATAACTTTTGATATGTTGTGTTGTCTTCACTTGTTTCCAGAATTTTTTTTTATTTCTTTTTTGATTTCTTCTGTGACCCAGTGTTCATTCAGGAGCATGTTGTTCAGTCTCTATGTGTTTGCATATGTTCTAGAGATTCCTGAGTTGCTGATTTTCAGTTACATTCTATTGTGGTCTGAGAAGGTACATGGTATGATTTCAATTTTTTTTGAATTTACTGAGACTTGTTTTATGGCCTAGCATGTGGTCAGTCCTAGAGAAGGTTACATGCACAGGTTAAAAGAATGTGTATTCTGCAAATGTAGGATGAAAATTCTGTAGTTATCTGTTAGGTCCATTTGTGTTTTTTTGTTTT